ACATTATTGTAAATATTAGCCAAAGATTAGGAACAAGTGAATGGAGGAGCGCGCGCCGGCCCTGAGCGCCGCATGGATAAGAGCGATTATTCGTTAACTTTAACCAGCTCTCCTGCCAAAATTACTTGTCAGATCAAAATTTGCTAAAGGAAAAAGTTGTTCCTTTTAGCACGAAGTATAACATCCTGTACTCCGAATGCGCCAATTCTGGGACACCCTGTATACAGGAAATTTTACGTAATTCCAATGCGTCGTCAAATGGGACGTAATATTTTATCTTAATGCAGGACAATGCTCGCCCACATACTGCAAGAATTGTACATAATTTCCTCAAAGAAAACAGCATCGAGATACTGCCACATCCATCTCTATGAGTCCAAATTTAAATCCCATCGAACACGTGTGAGATATATTGGAAAGAAGGCTTCGGAGTTTGGAAAGACCGCCAATCAATCTCCAGCTACTGGAAGCAATGTTACAACAGATATGGTGCGAAATTTTACAAAACACAATTAGAGCCTGCATCAATATGCGTGAACGTTTGCAAGAAGTCATCCAAAGACAAGGCAGGAATACGCAATTTTAAAATGCAAACGTTATACGGTCCACGTGTTTCGTCCAGCGCGCGCGCACACCACATACACACACACCACACACACACACACACACACGATGCATAAAATCCGATCAGCAACTTCCCCGTGGTGCGCATCGGGTAATGCTAATACTAGTAGTAATTTACTAAAAATGCAATGATAATTTTAATATGCGGTAACTCCGCGAAAAAAATCGTATGTTTGATATTTTTTTGAAATCTATATAAAAAAGTCCAAACATTACGATAGTTGTCATGGCATTTGCGAAAAAAATTCATTTTATTCCGTAGAGTGCGTCAAATTATTGTTTGTCAATTATTGTTTGCAATTTTTTGTAAACGTAACATGTCTTTACTTTTCAGAAGAAAAGGTAGATTAAAAATCTATCGAAAGCTTCTTTAAACACAAACTACCCTTGAGAATGAAAAAAAACTTTTTGATACAATTTTTCGCGGAGTTACGATTGTCTAAAGTTATGCAAAATTTTGATGTAAATTTACCTATGCGTTAATTTTGTTGTAGTCAGTGTATCAATACGAATTCGTTGTTAACATATCTTACATTTGGTTCATATAAATATTTTTCAGTATATCTAAAACTTATAGTATGTTGATTAACATCAAGTTATATGTATACATTGCATATTCCTTAAATACATGTCACAATGTGTGTAACGTTTTATTTAAGGTAAATATTTGATTAAAAATAATTTAAATGAATAGACTAACATGTTATTACCAGTACTTTAAAACTAATTAAGATCACATTGTAATCGCAATTGATAATCATTCTATAATATATTATTTATATAAATGAATACTTCATTTAACATTAAAAGGAAAAAGCACATAAAGAATTGTTGGAAATTTATGGCACGGAAACTGTAAAATCTGCACCAGTTAAATATGATGATTTGCAATATATGCATTATTTGGAGCGAGTTATCAAGGAAACGATGAGAATTTTCCCTCCTGGCCCATTCATCATACGACAAGGAACAGAAGATTTTAAAATAGGTTTGCTTACTTTATATAAATAAACAGATAAACACATTATTATTCCATACTAAAAATAATTTTCTTTATAAATAATAAGAAACATGAGATTTAGCGATATGCAGATATTAAACATCAATATTTATCAACTTTAACATAATTTTATACTAAAAGAAACTATGCATAAACATTTTTGTTATAAAAATGTTTGAATAATTCATAAGATTTAAAAGGATGATATTATTTTACTAATATAAAATACAGTAAAGATATAGTAAATATAAGATATAGTTAAGAATAAAAAAACTAATTTAATTTCCTGTGTGTAATATTGCTTTGTCAATTATATATATACATTATATATTATATACATTATATACATTATATATATTATATATATTATATATATTATATACATTATATATATATACATATAACATATACAGAGTGCCCCATTTTATATTTGACAGTCAAATATTTGGAAATCGCGAGGTTTGAGGGAAAAATGTTTCAGACAAAAGTTGTAGAGTTTCGAGGGGGACATAAGATGATAACATTGGTTTGACCTTG